ATTTCCTTTATATTATATGAATTATTCTCTTGTATTTAAAATGTTCATGTTTAGGATAATCAACTAGAGAACTAATCGGTAGAAGAAGAATTTGATAATCTATGCTTATCTTAAATGGTTTGATTGGTTATGCTTATGAATTCTAGGATTATTATCATGTTGTTGTTCTTATCATGAATAGTAATTTGATAGGTTACATTTTCCTTAAATGGTTTGATAATCTATGTGTTTGTGGAAAAATTTGCAGTAAAAGAAACGAAGGAAAATTGATTTGTATTCCTTTAATCTCAATTACAATTGGATTTCCTGATTATAAAAGAGAGGAGAATGGATTTGATTCTCCCCTTTGTTTAATTCTGGGTTCTTCACGGTGGCGATGGAGTGCCTCCCTCGAATGCTCGCGTCGAGTTTGGTCTCCGTTGACGATCCGACGTTTTGCTTCACTGGAACTATGTCTTCTCCTCACGGTTTGACGCTGTGGAGAACTTGCAAAGCAAGTTTTAGAACTCTGAATGAGTTGGAAACTCTTGAAGAAGAGTTGATTTGAACCGAGAATCGGTTCTCAAGCCAAGGCCGGAGGCTTCAAGGAATGCTCCAAAGGATGAATGCCGATCTCTCAATCTATGATCCTCCAAGATCTCCCCCTTTGCTGCCAAGAAGTTCCAACAGACCGGCCCCTGAACTGAATTGATTTTTAGTTATTTATAGGGGATTAAGGGGTGTAACCACCTCCTTAATTCGCTCCTAAGTGGGGCTAATTGGATGTAACACCCCCTTAAATCACTCCTGAGTGGAGTTGTGATCCCCTCAGATCGTGGGAAACGGTTTTGAAACTGTTCAGCTCGTGTTTGAACGAGTCAAACGTAAAATCCGCATTCTGGTGTGAATCATGTGTTCAAACGCAGTATCTGGAAGCTCGAACGCAACGTCTGAAAGCTCGGACGCAGCGGCTGGAAGCTGCGTTGGCATCTTGTTGGAAGCTGCGTTTGGCGGCTTGAAAGCTGCGTTTGGCAGCGGATTGGAAGCTGCGTTTGGCAGCGGATGAAGCTGCGTTTGTTATCTTGTTGGAAGCTGCGTTTGGCAGCGGATGGAAGCTGCGTTGGCAGCTTGTTAGAAGCTGCGTTGGCAGGATTTAAGAGCTGCGTTTGGCAGTGGATAGAAGCTGCGTTGGCAGCTTTGGAGGCTGCACTTGAGCTGCGTTCGTGGCTATGAACATGGTGCGTCTTGATGCTGGTACGCGGGGGGGGCTTCCACGTCTTGGTTTGAAGAGACCGTCGATTTGTAGTCTCTTTCTGTCAGAGCGTTGCAAAGATCGTCGTTTTGTAATCTTTGCTTTAGCTCTTTGATATGTGAGAGTCGTCAGATTGTAACTCTCGATATTGATTGTGAAGGTTGTTGATTAGAGCTTTCATCAGTTGTTACGAATGTCATCAGATTGTAACCTTCATCAGTCTACGTGAAAGTCTTCAAATTATAACCTTCTGGAAGTCGTCAGAGTGTAACTTCCATCATCGGTGTTTTGATGAGGATCAGCTATCTATTGTGATTTTTTGACAGCCTACACTATGCTTAATAAATCTAAGTTGAAATATGATAAAAAGAGAATAGTTTATATTTTGTAATTGAAATTGGTTAGTGGATTATATTCTAGATTTCTTACCTCTTTTAAATCCTCCATCTTGACTTTCTTAAATTTTCTTTTCATTCTTGGTTTTATTTCTTGATTTTATTCATTCATCTTTCTTGCCTTGTGATTTTATTTATTCTTTAATTCTTCCTTCTCTCCTCTAAAATTCAATTTATTATCTTTTGCATATATTCACAACAATCACTCATCACATTCACACTTATTCTTTATTCCTAATTGTCACGCACAAAACATAAGAACCATTTCTAATAATCTCTTAAAATCACCTTCCTCGTGGGATCGATATTTTTATACTATAGAAAGAAGGAACAATGTAACAGATAACCCAAAAGGATTCGACAATGCAAAGGATACAAAAATTATACCATCTGATGACAAATTTCTTGTGAGCCTCTCTGATTATTGATCTGCATCAATTAAGAATAGAAACCAATAAGCAATAAAAGTTCAATAGACTCATTGAAGTAGTAACAATTCCGATTACAAATTTGTGAAAACAGGGCTAAATCCAATAGTTTAAGTCAAAAGACTTTCAAATAATTCAATGTCTACATACATTTCGTCATAATAGTTTTCTAAATCTTCACGTGCCCCAAATCAAGCCAAAAGATCCCTAGAATCAAACTTCCAACAGTTGAATTACAGAAAAAACAACAAATAAGGAATCAAAAAATTATACAAACAACATATAAGATCCTTGTTGAAATTAGGGCTTAAACTACCCTACAAAATAAAGGGGAATTGAGATAAATTGTTGCCTGATTGAATGGAAAGAGAGAATGATTGATTCTCTCAATTTAGGCTTTCTCCGTCCTCCTTCTCTTGGTCTCCTAAAACTTCATCTTCAACTGTATTTGATGATAATTTGAAGATATTTAGGGTCATAAAATCTACAGAGAATGTATAATAAAACAGTAAAAAAATCCAACCTTTTGACCTATCTCCTGGATTCTTACTGTTGGGTGAACCAAAACACACTCTTTTATCAAAACGTATATTATCCTATCCCGTGAGACATCGCATCCCACACTCGGCGATATGATCCCTCCCCAAATTTGACAGCCTCTTTCACTCAGAAAAATCACAGACAAGATGGAATTGAAGTTCGATCTCGACCGTCTGATCCTAACGGACTTCGCAGTCCGGTTACCGACATCAAAACCCCGGGGCGGTGCCCGGATCATCTCCTTCCTCCTCCAAGCCATCGTCATGGCTGTCGCCCTCTCCCTCTTTTTCCTTTTCGGCG